GAACCGCCGAACTGCAGATAGCAGTCAGCTGAAGTGGCCTGCAGTACTGCACCCTAACCACTGCGCCACCTCGGCTCTTGCCCTGAAAGTAGTAATAGTCATCATTCCATTCTGTCACCGTCAAGTCCTCTCTCTCCGTCTCCTTTTGCTCAGGTTCAGCGGGCTATCCGGATTTCACCAACCCCCAGATGCGTTCCTGGTGGTCCAGCATGTTTCCTTACGACCAATACGAGGTAAGGGAGTGGTGGTGGTGGTGGCTTCCTGGTTTAATCAGGTCTCTTCTGACCCAGAGCTTCACTGAATCACGAGACAGACCCCTTGTCCCGCAAAAAACAAATAAAAACCCACCCCTTTTTATTTGCTTAATGTGAATTCCTGGCATTCACATCCAGAAAAAGGCCCAGCAATTCGTCTTTCAAGGTTTTAATTGCAACAACAGACCTTATCAGTCTTGGAGCGTTGCCAGGCCAGGAGCTTCTAGTCCCAACCCTGTAAAAGGAAATCTTCACAATAATAAGGGAACTGATGGTCTCCTGCAAACTCCACTCCCCTTCCGCTCCTTTTTTATTCCCTCTGGGAGGGGCCATTCACCGTCCACCTGTGGCTTTACTCGCGAATCGACCCCTGTTCTTCAGCTGTTTCCTTTGTGTCTGGCAGCTCTGCGCATGCGCACACTGGGAACAGGCTCCAGCTGTTCTTCTGCCTCACTGATGTCTGACTCTCAAAGCAGCTGATAACTGTCAGACGGCCCTGTCCCCCTCTCTGTCTCTGACACAGAGGCCTCATCAGAGCCTTCCCCAGACCCCAGGACTGGCCCAGGTTCCTCCCTAACCCTCCTCACTGTCCGAATCTGGCAGGCCACAACAAGACTGTCAGCATTCCAAGTATCATGTAGAATTAAATCAGAGTCCAAGGCAAAACGATCCTTAAAGTTCCAATTTAACAAAAGCTCGCCGACAAAACCGCGATGCTAAAACCGCGACGTCATCAACGCGCGGACAACAGCGTTGATGACGCTGTTGATGGCGCTATTTAAGTTAAGGTTAGGGTTAGGTTTAGAGCGCGCTTCTGTCGGCGCGCTGTTGTCGGCGCGCTTCAGCGCTCATTCGTCAGCGCGGTTTAGAACTTGCGGTTTTGTCACCGTGGTTTAGTCGGGTGCGCTTCTGTCGGGCGCCCTTTTGTCGGTGAACCATAAAGCAGACATCTTAGCACATCTGTGTTAATCCCAATTCTGGAAATGACATCAGAATCCCACCCAGTTAAAAGT